TCCAGAGCATGTTGTTTATTTATTTTTTTGAGATAGAGTATCGCTGTGTTGCCCAGGCTGGAGTGCAGTGGCACAATCTCCCAGCTCACTGCAACCTCTCCCTCTCAGGTTCAAGCAATTCTCCTGCCTCAGCCTCTCGAGTAGCTGGGATTACAGGTGTGCAGCACGATGGCAGGCTAATTTTTGTATTTTTAGTAGAGATGGGGGTTTCACTATGTTGGCCAGGCTAGTCTCAAACTCCTGACCTCAAGTGATCTGTTTGCCTTGGCCTCTCAAAGTGCTGGGATTACAGGCGTGAGCCACTGTACCCTATAAAGGGTAGCATGGAGATCTCTGTAGTGACAGAATGGCTCTATATTGTGATTTTAGTGGTGGTTACACAAACTATGCATGTGAGGAATAACACAGAACTAGATGTACACAGCGTATCAGTGTCAATTTTCTGGTTTGATATTTTGCTGACAGTTCAATAAGATGTAATTATTGAGGGAAACTGAGTGAAGGATACATAGGACCTCTGTACCCTTTAAAATTTCCTCTGAAATCTGTAAGTATTTCAGCATAACAAGTTAAAAGAGTTAACTACAAAAAATGTCTTCTTACAATCAGCAATATGTGTCAAGAATCTTGAAAATGGTAATACTCTTGCATTAAGGAATTCTCTCCCTCTCTAGGAATTTAGTCTTAGGAAAGAATCAGAGAGGTGCATATAAATTTGTAAACTGGGCTATTCATTATAGATCATAAGATAATTTAAATGCCTAATAGCAAGAGAAGAGTTAGTAAGTTACAGCCCACCATATGATAGGATATTTGCATAGCTACTAAAATCATGCTTTTGAGGAATATTTAATTGTATGGAGAAATTTACAGTAGCGTGAAGTTAAAAAAAAAAGCAGGTAACGAGAGTGGCCTCACAGTAAGATCTTCATTTTGTTTAAAACACACCTGCATGGAAATGTAGAAGGAAATGCATCAAAATAATGATGATGCTATTATGAGGATTTTTATTTCTAAAATAAATATGCGTTGCTTTTATAATCAGAAAAATAAATACCTCATCCACAAAACTTGGTAGATTTGAAGGGAAGAGGGGGAATATGTTGTAGGAATTTCCTCTGGACCCAAGGCCCAGGCTTGATACAGGAATGTTCTGTTTTATAAAGGAAAATCTTTTCTTAATCCTGCTAGTGTTGTAGGTAAGCCACTACAGAGTTTGGGACATAATTAAAAACCTCAGGTGCTGTGTCATTCAACCTGTGGAAAGGGGGAGTAAGGAAGAGGAGACACACACTTTCCAGCGCCTGTTTTTCAGCGGGTCAGTGTAGGTACAGACGTTACTTTTTTTTTCAGACTATGAATAACCTTTAATTTACTATTGGCTATGATTTCTTGGCGACAATTTCGCATGCAAGATCATTCTTTTTCATTTCATTTTTAAGATCGTGGTAAAATACACATTCTGTAAAATTTGCTATCTTAACCATTTTCAAGTGTAGAGCTCAGTGTTATTAAATGCACCTGTAATGCTCTGCAACCATCACTACCAACCACCCTCATAACCCTTTTGTCAAAACCCAAACTCTGTACCTACGAAATGATCATTCCCCATTCCTTCCTCCTCACGGCCCCTGCCAACACTGTTCTGTCTTTGTGATTCTGACTGCTCTAAGTATCTCCTAAAAGTGGAATCATACCGTATTCGTCTTTTTGTGGTGGGCCTTGTTTAATTTAGCATAACATCCTCAAGGTTCATCGGTGTGGTAGCACACTGCAGAATTTCCTTCCTTTTTAGGCAGGATACGGTTCCATTGTATAGACATCCCATATTTTACTTATCCATTCATCTGTCGATGGATACTTGGTTGCTTCCACATTTTGACTGTTGTTATCACAGACACGACTTTATGAGAAGGGGGAGTAGAAGGACAATTTGCAAATCTGTGCTCATGGTATTGCCCCGGGGTGGCCTTTTGTACCCTCAAGGAGCAGTAGGAGCTATACTTCTGGGCTATGGCTCCTTTCAGCCTGGGGTCATTTTCTGGAGAAGGAGGCAGCTGTGGTCAAGCGCAGCCCACACTCATGGCAGCCGGCATCCACCAAACGGCCCCTGAGTATGCAGGATATTGTGGCGAAAACGCCATACATACATTTTTAGGTGTATGTCTGATGATTTCCTAGGCTAAATTCCTGGAAGTAGTTTAAACAAAGAGCTTATTCGTAGTCAACAGATGTTGATTCAATGAACGATGGTGAATAAACAAGAAGAGAGAGTAAGGACACAGAAAAGCCACTGGGAAGTTGAAGGGATGAAGCAGGCATGTGACAGGCAGGTGTGGGACTGGGTTCCTGGGGACAGGGCCCTGCTCACCTTGGTGACAGGACCAGCATGGGCCTGGTACTCATTGAATTCCTTCTGCAGGGGCAGAGGGTACCTCATAGCACGAATGGTTCCCACCGAGGTGCCCACAAACATCATGCGTCCGGAATGCGAGATGGCAACGGCTGTGTAGGTGACGTCAAACGCCGGTATTTCTCGAAGGATCTGGGACACAGGTAGCTCTGCTCAGTGTGAGGGGCCGAGCTGTGGCCCCTGGGTCCCGGTGCCATTCTCTCCCTCCCTCTCCTCTAACAGCATCCCTAGGGGCCTGTCTTTAAAAAATGCTTTTTCTATCCCTTTTGCCATCTGAAATAGTGCCTAGCACAGAAAAGGCACAAACTAGATATTCTTGCTGTGTTGCTAGTGAATAACCAGTTTCACGAGTTAGGAGTAACACTGATAAAGAGAGACCTCATATCACATTGACTCTGTGCCAAGCACTGTTCTGTGCCTTCTCCACGTTGCACCTCATTCAGTCCTCACAAGGCCCTCCAAGGCAGTAACTGTTACCCTTAGTCTACAGACGATGGGCCATCTGTGTGACAAGGGACTTGCTTCAACTCATGTACCTAGGTGGGCTCCAGTCTCTGCTTTGACTGCTATGCTTGGGTGCATTTCAAAATGAGAATGGGATATTGGTCACAAATGTACTCAGTAAGCATTTATTAATGCCTATTACATAAACAAAACTATACATTAGTCTCCCTTTATCCTCGAGGGATATGTTCTGAGATTTCCAGTGGATGCCTGAAACCACAGGTAGTACAGAGCCCTATATATACGTCTTTTTTCTGTACATACATAACTACGATATGGTTTAATTTATAAAACAGGCACAGTTAAGAGATGAATAATAGCTAATAATAAAATAGAACAGTTACAACAATACTGTATGAAAGCTATGTGAATGAGGTTTCTCTCTCAAAATATCTTACTGTTTGGCGCTCGCCTGTTTTTAGGCCTTGGCTGACCACGGGAAACTAAAACTGTGGATAAGGGGGACTGCTGTACTCTCAGAGCACCCCTTCATTCCGTCGCTCCTCCACACACTCCTCCACCCTCCCAGCTACACATACATTTACTGAACGTTGTGCACCACGCAGTGTGCCAGCTAAAAGGGCTTTATTTGGCAGAGCACTGATAACTGCTATTGAATGAGGACTGGGACACTTGGGGTACACAGGAGAGTCACCATACTCTCAGCTGTGTTCCAACCACGGGGAGACCTCCTTGGGCTGGTTTGCTGCCGTGGTATCTATGCACCTTCCCAGGCACCAGTCACGGGAAAAGCCGGGGGAGCCAGCTGGAGGAGCGCACAGGCCGTGTTTATGTTATGCATCCTTGCTAAGCTCCTCTCTCTTCCCTTCACTATCTGGAGCCCAACATAACTGTACAGTTTCAGAGTTTGGGGATTTCAAAAGAATACAGTGGCCAGGCTAGGTGATAGCAGCTGACTGCACAGTCCTGCATCGCTTGATATGGGATACATGGTTAGGCTGTTTTGTCATGCAAACACCAGAGTGTATTTACACAAACCTAGCTGCGACAGCCTGCTGTACACCTAGGCTATGTGGTAGGGCCTACCGCTCCTAGGTTACAACTGAACAGCACGTGACTATACTGAATACTGTAGGCAACTGTGGCACAATGGAAAGTATCTGTGTATCTAAGCAGAAAAGGTGCAGTGAAAATTTGGCATTATACTCTCATGGCATTCTAATCTTACAGTCTCTGCAGTTCGTCCCTGGTGTTACTCAGTGCATGCTGTAGCTAGGTTTTTACCCCAGGAAAGTAAGTGCAGACCAAGGGTAACTGCAGTTTAGAGATGACATGACCTCCGTGCCCGGAAGGTGGAAGTTACAGACAGCAAGTACAATGGAAATGAAAAAGAGCCCCACAATCTACAATTTCACCCAGTCAGGCGGGAACTGGGCAGGAAATTCAGGAAGTGACGATAATTGAGCTAATCCAAAAGGAACGATGAGCCTGACGTTATCCCGGAAAGAAGGGGCCCTGTAAGCGGAGGCCCTCGTTTCGTGCATACTTTCAGCAGCCCAGAGGAGGGGCGGGGGCAGACTCACCGAAGAATCCGCAATCTCCTTGAGGGTGTAGTCTGTTCCAACAGCAAAGATAATTTTGGCATCGGGGGAGATAGTAACACAGTTGTAGCTGCAAGACTTGAGCACGCATTCTGTCTCTCTCTTTCCTGTGGACAGATTCCATTCGTACACAGCACCATCTGTGCCACCAGAAATCAGTTTGCTATCATCTGCATTCCACACAACTGAGCGAATCTGCAGGAGACAAAGATACCCAGTGAAGAGGGTATGCCCACACCCTCTAACATCGAAAAGGGTGCAGACCCCTCAGGTGCTCCCCTAGACAGAGCAGAACGTCCTTTCCTGCTGTAGAACCTTCTGTCAGCACAAAATGTAGCTTCTTGCGAATGCTAACATTCTGTTTTCTACGAAGCTTGCAAATTACTGAAGATGAAACACTCCCATTTCTTTTTCACTTTATGAACGTTAAAGACTGAATCATACAGGTTTCTTAATGCTAGAACCAACCAATTATTGCTGTTTTTTCAAAATGTTTTTGACATAATTATATGTTCACAGAACCTTCAAAAACAGCCCAGAGAGAGTGGACTTCTGGAATGGAAGGGTAAGGACCTCAATTTGACTTTCTCTCTGACAATGTAGGTTAAATGGTAAATATGATAAACACACACACACACACACACACACACACACACACACACACACACACTCTCATTTAAAGTCTCTAGAAGGCTGAGTGCAGCGGCTCACACCTGTAGTCCCAACACTTTGGGAGGCTGAGGTGGGAGGATCCCTTGAGCCCAGCAGTTTGAGAACAGTCTGGGTAATATAGTGAGACCCTGTCTTTATAGAAATAAAAATAATAAGCTGGGCATGGTGGCATGTGCCTGAGGCAGGAAGATGGCTTGAGCTGGAGAGGCTGAGGCGGCAGAGAGCTGTGAGTGTACCATTGCACTCCAGCCTCAGTGACAGAGTGAGACCCTGTCTAAAACAAATAAAATGTCTTTAGAAATTGTCCTCAGGGAACAGAGCAAACAAAAAAACATTTATTCAAGAAAATACACTCAATCCTGGTAAGAACAGAGTCTGCCGCATTTGAGCCATGACTTACTCTGTTATGGCCTTAGCTCCAGAAACTTCGCTGCTGTGCACTCTGGGCAGGTGTGGCCAAGGCAAGGGATTCCTTCTCCCCATAGCTTGGGCTATGATTTCAGTCTAGAAAGGCAAACTGCTGGGATTTCTTATTGTTACCCTAGCCCCATGTGGCAGAAGCTCTATTCCAAGCAGGTGTGGCCAAGAGAGCCCAGATTCTCTTCCCCACTGCCCATCCTCACTTGTTGGAAGAAGCTCCACTCTAAGTTCAACATACTGAGAATAACTGTGCCCCAATTATTCCTGACGCAGTTTGCTCATAGGATGAAAGTTCCAAGCCATGAAGGGCAAGCCAGAAAGACCAGGGCTTACACACCTGCAGGCGCATGCATGCGCGCACACACACACACCCTCAAGTGTCACTGACAGAAGTGAGGATGTTACTCCTGGAAATGCACGTCCCTGCTTCAGCTCTGGTGCAGTGAGGCAAAGGTTCTGCCCATGGGAAAGTCAGGTGCTAAGACAGGGAGCTGTGCTTGAGGGGACTGACTTTATTTGGAATAGAACATGGAAAAGCCCATGCCTCTGCACACTTTCTAAAACAATGGAGATCTTAGTGGAAAGTGATTAAGAGGAGGCTAATAACTCTAGGCTATAAGCAAAATGATATAGAGCAGTGGAATTTTGACAGAGAACATGGGAAAGAGACAGTGAAAAAGAGCTCTTCAGGGATAACAGACAACTCTAGGGGCTGGAAGGCCTTGTTTATGTGCTAGGTTGTACTGATTCAGGCGCAGTCAGAGTGGGATGTGGGAAAACTTGAAAGCATCTCCTAAGCTACACAAAGACCTGTTAACACAGGGCAGAGTCTCACTTGCACAATGGGCCTACCAAACACAACGGCCTACCAAACGCTGAGCAGTAAGCTCTCCTGACCCAGAGGCATCTCCTAGGAGGTCAGGCTTAAAAATGAAATCATATTCAGCCCCCGCAACCTGAAGACTGTGTGCATGCCCAAGGCTGTATCCCCTTATGTACAATGAGAGAGGGGACATCCAAACTACCAGTCTCTGGCTGAACATGATGCAAACGCTATTAACTCTCTGAACTATGATAGCAGTTTCCAAGCCACACACAAATCTGGTAGAAAAGGTAAAAATCTAATTGACTGAGGGGGTTCATGTACAATCTGTAACTAATAAGCAGCTTAGGCAATTCATGGGCAGCCCTAGGTAGCAAGGCCAAAAGAAAAAAATGAAAAATATCTGTGTTTAAGGATATGAGAGGCTGCACACTACAGGGAAACAGACTTTACAGAATTATCTCAGCCAAGTCACTAAACAGATAATCAGCCAGCCAACCAACAACAACCTCCTGGGGGGACACATATCAGAACTGCTACAACATATTGTCTAAAATATTCAGCCTACAATAAATTGAAACATAAACAAACAAATAAATGTGACCAGTAAGAAAAAGAAAGAAAAAAAGCATTCAGGCAATAGAAATTGCCTTTGAAGCGGCCCAGATGGCAGATTTTGCAAAGACTTCAAAGTAGTTAATACAAATATGTTCAATGAACTAAAGGAAACTATGCTTAAATAATTAAAGGAAGGTATGATGACAAGTCTCATCAAATAGAGAATATCAGTAAGAAGACAAAATATTTTAAAAATTGAGTGGAAATTCTGGAGTTGAAAAGTACAATAACCAAAATGAAAAATTCACTAGAAGGGCTCAACAGTACCTTTAAGCTGGCAAACTTGAAATAGATCAACAGAGATTGTGCAATATCTGAAGAACAAACAGAAACAATAATTAAGAAAAACTAACATCAACAGAGTTTCAGAGAAATGTGGGCAACCATTAAATGCACCCACATATGTGTACTGTGTGTAATGGGAGCACTAGGAGAAGAAAGAAAAACTGAAAAAATATTCAAACACATAATGCTGAAAAACCTCAAATTTGTTCAAAAACATAAACCTACACATCCAAGAAGTACAATAAACTCCAAGTAGGATAAATGCAAAGAAATCTAGATCCAGACACATCAAAAACAAAATATTGAAAGCCAAAGATAAGAAAATATTGAAAGCCAGCTGGGCACCGTGGCTCACACCAGTAATCCCAGCACTTTGGGAGGCCGAGGTGGGCACATCATGAGCTCAAGAGATCAAGACCATCCTAGCCAACATAGTGAAACCCCGTTTCTAGTAAAAATACAAAAATTAGCTGGGCGTGGTGGTGTGCATCTGCAGTCCCAGCTACTCAGGAGGCTGAAGAAGGAGAATCGCTTGAACCTGGGAGGTGGAGGTTGCAGTGTGCCAAGATCATGCCACTGTGTTCCAGCCTGGTAAAAGAGTGAGACTCCGTATCAAAAAAAATAAAAATAAAAAAGAAAGAAAAGAAAATATTGAAAGCCCTGAGAGAAAAATGATTAATCACATAACATCTAGCTTCTCTCAGAAACAAAGGAGGCCAGAAGGCAATAGGAGACATATGCAAAATACTGAGAGTAGGAAAAAAAAACTTACATCCAGCAAAACCATATTTTCATATTTTAAACATGAAGATAAATATGAACATAAAGATATTCTCAGATAAAATCTTACAAAATTTTTTACTAGAAGAACTGCCTTCCAAGAAATAGTAAAGAAAGTCCTTCATGGTGAGAGCAGGTAACCAGACAGTAATATGAATTCATACAAAAAAGGAAAATCAAACAAACCAAAGCACAGTAGAGTAATTATGCAGGTAATGAAGAGTATAATTGCATATTATACCTTCTTTATTCTCTAAGCTGATTTAAAAAGCAAATGCATATATATGCAAAAGTACTATATATAGAGAGTATGGTTTGACTTATAACATGTAGAAATGTAACAAATAGAATATATTTGACAATAACAGTACAAAGGTGATGCAGGACTAAAGCTTTACTGGGTTAAGAAAATGACACCAGATGTAACTCAGATCCACAAGAAGAAATGAAAAGAACCAAAAGGGTAAGCAAGAAGGTTTAGAAATTTACACTTGCCCTCAGTGTTTTCTCTCAGCTTCTTTAAAAGACATAATAAGATTATATAAAGTAATAATTATCAAGAATGCATTGCTGGGTTTGTAACATATAAAGATGGAACGTGGGTAACAACAGTACAACAAAGGGTAGGACTGAGTCGAGCTATGTAAGAGTGAAGTTTCTACATTTCCCTGGAACTAAGTCAATAAATATTTGATGTCCATTTTTTTGAAGTTGGTTTTTCTTCTTTAACCTGTTAATATAGTGAACTACAATACTTTTTGAATGACAAACCAGCCTTGCATTACTAGAATAAATCCCATTTGGTAGTGAGGTCTAGTTCTTTTCCTATATTGCTGGATTCAATATGTCAATACTTTATTGTGGATTTTTGAGTCTATGTTTGTGAGGAATATTGATCTGTAGCTTTCTATATCTCTGTGTATCAAAAACCATAAATTCACATTGATACCTCCAATTTCAATTCAACCACAAGGTTCATTGTTGCCTCTGCCCCTTTATATATTTGTAACTCCCTTCTCCAACTGTGAAAGACCTACCTCCCATTATCTTTGATATGTTTGCTTATTTTCTCACTCTACCCATAAATAACCAGTCTCCCAACCCACTGGACACCCCTTTGGGTAACTCCATGACTCCTACCCTATCAGCCATATCTTTAGCTCCTTTGTCAGCCCCATCCCCACCTCTTAAATGGCATTTTCTAATTGTTTGTAACTATTCCATAAAAATGCACTTTTAAAAATATAGAGAACTTATTTCCAACAATATTCCTAGATTCACTAATTTTATTAGTTTATCTGAACATTCTTTGAATTTTCTGCATACCCAATCATGTTATCTGTAATAGTTTAATTTCTTCACTTCCAATCTTTATACCTTATATTCCTTTTCTTACTTTAGTGCACTGGTTTAGGACTCAGTAAAAGGCTCACAGAAAGCATCACATTGTTCTCATCTCAGAGGGATGCTTTCATAATTTCACGATTAAGTATACTACTTGTAGGTTTTCTGTAAATATCTCATAAAAAATTTAGACAGTTCCCCATTATCTCTAGTTTGTTAAGTGCTTTTTAAAAATATCACGAATATGACTAGACTGTTCTTAAAATTTTTTAGAACAAAAATTTGTTGAAAAATTGTTCCAAAAATTTTTTAGAATATTTGTTTTATTTTATTTAGCAAATAAATGTTAAATTTTTGTCAAATTTTATTATATCTGCATTTACAGAGGTAAGCATCTGATTATTCTTTTATGCTTATGTGGTACAGTACATTATTTGACTTCAAAATCTAAAACAACTTTGCATTCCTGGAATAATCCCATCTTGGTCATGTTGTATTATCTTTTTAACATATTGCTGGATTGGTCTGATAATGTTTTGTTTGGGACTTTTCTATCTATGTTCATGAAAAAGACTAACTTATTATTAGTTTTATTCTTGTGGTATCTTTCACAGACTTTTGGT